TTCGTGGCATCGATCTGCCGACCAACGTAGCCCCTCTACCCATTTTCTTCCCCAGTTTCTTTAACAAAAACAGAAACAAAATCCTAGAGCCAGTGTGAAGGGTTAACACTACTCCTGTCTTCAAAGATGACCACATAGACTCCCGATCTGGCCAGCCCCCTTTCTCCTCCCTCCTGGTGGGGAGTGGGGGCCCTGACACCCATCAGCCCAGAGGCCCTGGACTGGGCTCTGACCTGCATGGCGCCAGTACTTCTGTTTCGGCAGCATGTTGCCTTCTGTGTCAGACTTTGGGAGAGTGTGGCCGGCTCTTGAGTGCAGTTGCCTCACCCTGGGCAGCGTTTGCCGGCTAGCATGGAAGAAGCTTGGTCCTAGAAGTCCGCTAAGGACTGGGGTCTCCAGCTTGGGGTGGAGCAACAGCTAGTTCACAGAGAGGGTTATTTCAGTGATCTTGAGTGCTGCCTCACCTAGGGAAATCCGAGGCCCACCAGACCAAGAGCTGGGTCGGGCTGGAGCTCACTCCCCAGCTGCAAGGCTGACTCCACCTGGAGGACATGGGGTGAGCAGTTCCCCTCTCTGCATCAGTGAGTCTAAATCCCAGTTTTTAGCCTCAGAGCAAGAGGTGCCCGCTGAGGGATGCTCCCATCACATCTCTGGGCCCCAGCTTTGGACCTCAGATCTTGGGGCATCCCTTAAGGACCGTACAGAAATAACCTTGACCCCGAGCATCCAGCTTCTGGACTTGGGGACCTTGTGTAGACCCACAGCAAGGCTGCTGCCATGCCTGCTCCCAGCGTCTCCTGCCCCTACTGACTGATTCCACTCTCCACCCAGCCCCATCAGAACCACAGCTGGACAGAGGCCCGTGCCCATGATGTGCCAGAAGGCAGGCCACTCACCTGGAGGACCTGAGAATCCCCGGGATTCTCAGGAGGTGGGGGGCAAGTACAGCCCCTGCAGGAGGTTTCTAAATCTGCAGCCCAGATGTTTGTTAAAGTTTCCGACTAAGACTCCCTGGCTTTTCTGGGTCCCCCATCCAGGTGTTTATTTTCCCTTGCTAGCCTGGAAGTCCCTCCTTTTATCCGACCTGCAATGCCTCCAACTCTGATTCAGATGCACTTCCTATTGCTGTCCTCGGTGACACTTGAGGCCGGGGCGTCATTCCTTCAAGTCCAAGATGAGTAGGTGCACCAGTGGCTGAATTCAACCCTTTGTAAATCACCTGCCGATTTGTATGGCAAATGCATTACGTTTGCTTAGATCCAATTTTCCTCAGCCCACCCTTGGTCCCAGCCTGGCTGAGCTTGGCAGGTACAGAGGGTTTGAAAATAGTCAGGTGTGTTTGCAGTAAACTCGACAAGTTTCAGAGCACCTGCACTCTGCTCCTTCTCACGGCACCCTTCAGAGTCAGAGGAAGTAATTGTTCCACTCACCTTGTGCAGATGGGTGCCAGGGTCACCCTGGTCTGCGGGCCCCAAGTCCAGCGCTCTCTTTCTCCGCACCACAGCTGCCCCTCTGGGCAGGCTCAGGAGATAGGAAAGTGCTCAGGATTAGGCTGTGGCTGTGGACCCAGAGCACCTGCCACACATGTGGCCACAGGGTGCAGGACGCTGCCCTCTTCAGGAACGGGACTAATATGCCCAACTCCTACATCCCAGCACTGCCTGTTCGCTCAACCACATTTGCTCACACACACACTGAGCCCTAGAGCCATGCCCCCTGCCTTCCTCCTGACCCGATTCTCCTGGTGAGCCTGGGTTCCCCCCGGGAAGGTGCCAGGCCAGGGTCATGGGGAATGCGCTGCAGGGTGGGTGCCACAGAAAGCACCCTCAGGGCAGCGCTAAGTCTCCAGACCTAGAGGCAGAGGGCATCACCACAGACGTCCCCCTCTGTGCAGCCGGCCGGCGGTCAGGATGTGGAGCTGCTCGGATTCCCAGAGAGAATAAGAGTAGTTGTCCCCAAGGCCTGCCCACGGCCAAACAGGAGCCACCGACAAGCTTAGGAGGGAAGCGATTTTCCTATTCTTTTCCTAATCGTCATTTGCTTTTCATGCGTCTTCCCAAAGATGCCTGGGTTTCCAGGTGGCTTTGGGGGGCTGGCACATGCCCACAGAAGGGGTGGAGTGGATACCAGAGGTCCTGCCCTCTCAGGGCCCCCACCCTGCAAAGGGGCTGGTTCTCTGGCCCAGAGCCTCCAGAAAGGGACCGGGGCTGCGCCCTCTAGTGGATGCCAGGCCACCCACTTTGTCCCTGACTGAGGGACATGTCCAAGGTGACATTGAGCTGGGGCTCAGGTGTGGGTAGAAGTATGTGTGTAATAAATCAGGACTTGGGGTTTCAAACTGCATTCAAATACCTCGCTTTCTCCAGGGTGATTTGAGTGGTGCTTGATGGCAAGGGGGAGGGGGGAGCGGGGGGCTGCGGGGTGGAGGGGAGGGTTGTCCCAATAGGAGCTGTTGGCTTTTGAAAGACCCTCCTGGCCGACTCTTAGCTACAAGCCTGGGCACACAGGGATGGGAGAAGTTGCCAGTGCTGGGTGTGTTGGCTGCCAACCCTTTTGTGTGCTGAGCCTGTGCCGGGCATCTGGGGCCAGCATCCGCCCATGGCCTCCTGTTTCCGAAAGTTGCTTCTGTTGGCCGGATTGGTCTCTAGGCAGTTAGTTCTCTCTGCCACCGTCCCACCCCCCCATCCCTGAGATAGATGGGCCTGCCCTACAGGTTCTTCTCAGGTCAGTAGAGAAAGAAAACAAACCAAAGCCTCTTTCTCTCCGTCTTCCACCACCCACCCACCCTAAAACAAAGCAGTGGAGCCTGTTACTTGGTGCTGGGTGGTGGTGGTGGTGGGTTGGGGTTTCCACTGCCATAGTAGACCGGGAGTGTGCCATCTCAGCACTTTCTCTTTGCTGAGCCCAGAGGAGAGCGTGCGTAAGGCCAAGATAATAGCGCCTTTGGAATTTCATCTCAGCTTGATAGTTGCCTCCTTGTGGAAGAAGGGCCGAATGTTATCTACAAGTTGAATCATCTGTACTCAGAAATCTCCACCACCCCCCTTGTCCGCCAGCACAATCCCAAATAAGCCCTGCGCTTGCTCGAAGCTGCTGCATCGTTTTCTTTTCCACTTTAGTCTGTTCTTTATGTTGCCCAACAGATGTGAGGGGTGATCCTCGGCCCCCAGCTTCATGGGGGTCTCCACTTGGGACTTCCTGCCCCAGAGGACACTGGGAGGCAAGGGTCAGTTTGGGTTCCTCGTGTTGAGTCAGGAGGCAAGCCCAGCTTGTTTGGTGTCCTTGTGTCCAGGCCCCGGTCCCAGTCTCTTCTGGGCCTGCCTTGGGTGCCTCCTCTGTCTCTTTCCATTCTAATGGCAAGTGAGTAAAAATTCACCGTGGCTCCTTGGGCCTACCTGGAAGGAGGGCCTTGAACCACAGGCCCCCGGGCCAAGCAGAAGCCGAGAGGGGAGTCAAGGATCTGCCATCTTTGAAGGCTAATTATAAGATAGAACGGGGACAGAGGTGGGTGGAGGTCGGGGGAGTGTGGGGGTATCAGTCCAGATCTTCGGGACACCTGGCTTGAACTTTAACCGTTTGCTTTGACAAAGCAAAAAAAAAAAAAACCAACCCACCTTTTCCTCCTATTTTGGAAAAGAAAGTTAAAAGTACTAAGAGGAAAATTTTTCAAAGGAGACAAAATTTACCCGGCTATCAGGCTATGGGGCTGTGGCCCTCGTTTAGGGGGGGAGGATAATGAAGAGAGGGGGCCCGAGGCAGGGTCTCCTTCTGGCCTCCCTACCCCCCACCCTCGGCACCAAGACCCAGCACCATCGCTCTCTGGATCTATGGACACAGTCCCATCTCCCTGCAGCAGGAGCTGTGTCTTCCGTATCTCTTTCTCCCCATCAGCAGCTGTGGTCTGAGGTCAGCTAGCCAAAAGCAGGCCTTTGGGCCAGGTACGCTTCCGCTGCGAATCAGTTCGAGTCCGTACACTCTGCCTTCATGCTCTGTCTTTTTTTGTTGTTTTCAAAACAAAAGGAACAGTCACGTCTAAATCCCCCTTCCCTTCTCCTGCAGGAGGTGAGTGTGTGGGTGTCTGGCTCTCACCCCAGCTTCAGCCCCGTCTTCAGGTGTACCATCACCACCCCCTCCCTCCATCCCCTGTGCTCCACCCAAAAGGGCGCCCCTGCCACCCGCCATCATTACCGCTGTGTTGAGCCAGATTCTCCATGACATAACCCATCCTCCGACCACGCTCAGTATCGACGACTTCCATGCAGGGGGGTCAAGGGGAGGGAGGGGTGGGGAGGGTGGGAGCAGCAGGAGGGCAGGGGGGAATGGTTTTGGAGGGGCATGGAGAATTAAGATCTGTTTTTGTCTCTCTCCCTCTGTTTTTTTTCTCCCCCTCCCCCACCAAAAAAGCCCCACAAATTTGCCGTTTAATGGCTCCAAAAGCAAACCGAAAAGGAAAAAAAACTGAACAAAAATCCCAAACCCCCTCCCCTCAAAGATTTTTTTTTTTCCTGGACACAAATTGCTTTGTTTCCTGTCACGTTTTAATATCAATATTAACACAATGTGTAGTCTAAAACTAGTTCCTTTGTAGTTTGCATGGGATGTGAATGCTATCTCAACGTGCCCAGACCTAGACCAGACTGCATGAGCCTCAACTCAGATGTGGAAAAAAAAAAATCCCTCTCTCTCTTTCTCTCTCTCCTCCATAAATGTATCTCTCTATATTACATGTCTCTATTTCTATTGTGATCATCTGGTGGGCAGTGCAGCACCCCGGTTGGTTGCCCTAGTGTGTTGGATGACTGTTTTCACTCTCTCTGGAGCTCCGAGCTTCCTAGTCGTAGCCTGGGCTGAGTCCTCCTGAGTCTCTGCTATGTTCTCGCATGGCCTTGGTTGGGTGTTAGAAGCTGGGCCTCAGCTGTTTCTCTCGAGTGTTTGGCTTGTAATGACCGGTGCATGCCTGGCTTCTGGCCTCATACCCAGCTCTATTCTCTGCACACCAGTCCTGAATAGCTACAGTGCTCAACCGAATTTTGGCGCGCCCGCTTCCCCGGCAGGCTCCAACCCGGCGCGGCCCGGAGGCTTCCCGGGGGCCAACAGCCCAGGACCTGTCGCCGATCTCTATGGCCCTGCCAGCCAGGACTCCGGAGTGGGGAATTACATAAGTGCAGCCAGCCCACAGCCGGGCTCGGGCTTCGGCCACGGCATAGCTGTAAGTACCTGCCCTCCTCCCTCCTTCCTGACCAACTCAAGGTGTCCTGGTGGCCCGTGGGGAGGGTGGCCCGTGGGTGGCTGGATGGAGGCAGACCACGGGGGTCCCCCATCCACAGCGCATCAGCTAGGGGCCCTCCATTTGCTGACACTCCGTCAGATGTCTCCTGAGTACTCCGCGGACCAGGCACTGTGCACGAGGCCCCGATGGGGATAGAAGGAGCATGTGCAGTCAGGGGCCTAGTCACCATGTTGTCACCTGCACCTTTAAGACTGTGGCCACCTTAAGTGACCCACGTGAGCCTCATGTCCTGCCAGGCTACAAAACGAGGCAACTGCCGTCCCCCTCATGTGAGAGCATTGCCACACACGGAGGGGCCCCTCGGAGCCGGGACCCTTCTCGCCCACCAGCTGTAGGGTCCCCGTGGCAGCGCTGGTGCCTGGGAGGTGGCGGGCAGTGGTAGTCCCTGCCCCAGAGGGTTTCCTGCGCTAATGTTTCTTGCAGTTTCCAGGTTCCAAGTAAGTTCCCCCTTGAGGTCTTTAGCCCCAGAAGCCAGACGCACTTGATATTTGTAATGCGCTGTGGTTCTATAATCTGACTAACCCAGGCAGTGGAAATTTGCTTGACAGATTTGCATGCTGTTTTCAGATTGTACTGCCCCCTCCCTCCGTGTGTGTGAGCATGAATGTGCCTGAGCCACGGACTCGGCCCCTCCATTTGGAATCGGAAACGGGGCCGCCCGCTGCCCAACACTCCTTTCTGGAGGCGAGCTGTTTTTAAGCTAAGATGGTTGTGTCTGCTGCCCAGCCGGTGTCCCTTTTCGACTGGACCTGGAGGAGAAGGCAGGCCAGCCTGCCAGGGGAGCACAAAGCTAATGCAGACAGACGGGGGAGTTCGTAGGAAAACGGCAGGAACAGATAATGGCATTTTTCCACGGCTTTTTTGAATCACCCCCAGAATCTACAGCACCTGCAGCCTGACTCTTGCCTGTGGCATTGGAAGCCACACAGTGCCCATGCACTCACACACACATTCGCATGCATACACATGTACCCACACACACACACTCAGCACCCATGCACCCCACACACACACATTCACATGCATATACATGTACCCACACATACACACACAGCCTACACACATATTCACATACACATACATACATACTCGCATGCATACACACATACCCACACATATACACCCAGCACCCATGCACCCACACATACACATTCACATGCATACACATGTACCCACACACACACACAGCCTACACGCATATTCACACCCACCCACACATTCACATGCATCCACATATACCCACACACACCCAGCACCTGTGCACCCACACACACACATATTCACATGCATACATATGTACCCACACATACACACACAGCCTACACACATATTCACACTCATATATGCACATATTCACACACAGCACACACTCCAGACACACATTTTCTCACATACACACACTGTACAACACCCCATACTCATACATTAAACACACACCACACTCACACCACACATCAAATTCACCTCACACACTCTCACATATACACACCATGCAACACCCCACACAAACCACTCATACATCAGACACACCCACCACATACCACATATACATGTACCTGTACTCACATACCCTCTCATACACCACTCTCATAGCACATCTTCAACAGACCACGTGAACCTACTCACACATACCCCGTACACCTTCTCATCGACCTAGATTCTCATACACACTCACGCGTGCGCAGACATAGTCTGGCATACACTCACACCACACACACACACACACACACACACACACACACACTTCTGCCAGGCGTAGGCCTGTGTAATATGAGTCCTTGTTCAGTTCCATTCCCAAACCAATTTCACTTAAGTCAGTCAAATCCCCTCCGATCAGTTGTCATACCAAATCCAGAATATTCTGACTCAGCTTAAAGCCACATCAGTGTGGAGGACCAGCTATCACCGACTCAGACTCACTGCCGTCCCCAGCGTCCACCCCACCGACACAGACCTGTTTGTTCTGGAAACCTGGGTCTTCTGACCCAGGTGCTGCTGTCACCACGCAGCAGCACATTCGGCTGCATGGGTCTCCTGGCAGGCTCACTGGAGCAGCAGGGCGGCGGCCAGGGGGCTTTGGGGGCTTGAGGCCCTCCTCCCAATCTGGCTCTCCATTACCTCCTGCGTAAAGCAGGCTTGGGCAGGGTGGAGGAGGGAGCAGGGCCTGGGGGGGGGAGCGAGGGAGGAGGGGTGCGGTCCTTGGCCTGCACCTCCAGGTGTCTCAGAGTCACGTATTCATGCTGGCAACCACCGCTGGTCCTAGAGACCACTTCCTTAACCAGAAGTGACAATCGGTTCCGTGTGTAGCTCACTGATGACCTTAACAATTGTGCAATTTTAGGGACCTTTGATTGCAACGGCCTTTACAAATGGATACCATTGAGCAAGTGCTTGCCTTGCCAACTCACGCTGAGGTATTACCGTCTCTGCCGTGTCCCCGCCCCGTGGGCGTGTCCGTGGATGTATGCGCCCCGCCCATACATCTGAGCACACGCCCCTCTCTCACCACTTCTGCCTCTCCTGGGTGCTCACCTGCTCTCCCCTTTCCGGACCCCTGGGAGGGGGGTGGGGAGAGGACAACGACAACACGGTCCAGCCCTTTCACCCCTCTCTCCAGCCCTTTCACCCCTCTCTCCAGCGTGAATCAGGGCATCCCCGCCTTTCACCCCACCATCTCTCGCTCTCTGCTCCTGGCTTTGGGTCTACATCTTCCTCACCCCTCATCTCTGTCTCCAAATACCATCAAGAGCGTGGGAAACTGGAAGGCGACTGTGTGCTGTGTGCCTACCACCACGGGGCAAGGAAGGCTTCTTCCCCCAGGCCTGGGAGGGCATCGGCCTGCCTCCTCCAGGCCCCAAGTACCCCTCCGGCGCCCCAGGGCTCTATGGGTGCCCAGCCAGTGGGGTCTCTGCTATCAAAGCACCAGACTCCCATCTTTTCAGTAAAACGAAAACATTTTTTTGCCAGTAACTACTGAGCAATTACCCAGATCACGGCACGAAAAGGCAAATTAAATTAACAGCATCACCTGCGTGGCGTGGGTTTGGATCCCTGCCAGTTTCCTAACCTTTTACTCAGAGCTCAAGCTAATTAAACATTGTTTTAAACCCCTTTGATGGGGATCTGGAGGGGGTGGGATGGAGGAGAGGGGAGGTTGTGAGTCCGTGTGGAAGCCCCTTGCCACGTCCTCCTTTGAAGAAACGGTACCCGTGGTGGTCCTCGGGTAGAACTGGGAGGGGAGCAGGGGCTGTGCTTGGGAAGGCCTTAAATGTGCGTGTCAGTTTAGGGGTTGAAATGTGACCCTGGGTCTTTGGGCGAGTGGGGGCGGGTGCTGCAGCCGAGGCCTGGGACCGGAGGAGGCTTTAGCTCTGAGTTAGGACCTCCGAGGGAGGCCAGGGATGAAGTTGCCCCTTTGGGCTTGTAGCTAGGCCATAGGCGCCTCTTTTCTAGAGGTGGGTCACTGCAGGTCCAGGGTGCTATAGGCTGGGACCGGCTGGGGCACCCAGTTGCACTGAGCCCCACCAATCGCCTGGATTTCTCTAATGTTGCTGCGAGTGAGTCAAATCCACTAACAGAACAGCCTCTCTTAACCCAATAAACCACCTGTGTGCATTCTCCCCACCCCTCACCCCCACCCATCTCCTTGAGCACTGACTCGGGCATCCCTGGGCAGAGCCAGAGGCCACTAGGGCTTTGAAGGAGCGCTACTCACTACTAATTCAATCGGATTAGGGAGCTTGGGGAGTAAGGGTCTGAGCAAGGAGGGTGCTGGCTGAGCCCAGAACCGGGAGATTGGAGGCAGCGCCAAGCCAGCCCTTGGTGGAGCCAGATGGTGGGTTCCTTAGCCCATCAGCAGTGGGAGCCGATGCCGGGAAAGGCAAGAGGCTGGTCTGGCCAGTGCCACACCCCCTGGAACAGAGTGGATGCCAGAGGGCTTCCTGTGCCTAGACCCAGGCCCCCCTCCTAGGCCCATGCAAGAAAGAAGTCTGCTCCCAGCCTCCCCCAATGTCCACAGAAGGATCAAGTAGCCACAATCCTGCATGGGTTAAGTAAAGTAAATGGATTCAGTCACCCAGCTGCAGTGCAGAGAAGCCACCTCCCCAGGGGGTGGGCTTATGAAGGCTCTCACTTCTGGGAGCTTTAGTTAGCAAGTCTGTAAACCAGGGGCCTGTTTGTGTTCTCCGTGATCCAGCCTGGCCATGCACTGGGCATGTTTTTAGGTGCCCTGACCTTGGATCCCTGGCATATGGTAGGCTTTAAAAAATAAATTGACATTTTCAGTTCTCACTAGCCATCGATGGGTGTCTCATAAAGGCAGAATGTTTGAAAGCCGATCTAGCTTCGAAAATAGAAGTTTACACAGAAAAAAGCAACACCCTCAGCAGTCGGTTCACTGATGCAGCAAACCAAACGCAAGATAACTCCAGCTGCCGGCCTCCTTCCCGGCCATCACCCTAATCATAGTGGACGTAGAGGTGGACAGCTAGCTGCCCTCTGTCCCCGCCCCGGGCACCAAACTTAAATGTCCTTTTCCCCACACTGTGGTCTCAACAGGCCATCAGCCAGAACAGAGCCTCCCCGTCGTAGCCCAGCGCAGACGGCCTTTGAAAAGCACGAGTTGAACCCTTGGAATAAATTGCATACTGTCCTAACACTTCTTCTCTCTCCTCCCACCCCGTTCCTGGTCCTCTTCTGGGCGTGCCCGACCTTCGCCACCTTGCAGAGCATACCTGGATGTCCAGGCAAGACTGGGCGAAGTTTCTGAGTGGCCCTTTGTTTAGGTGACGTCATCAGACCTGGACCCCCCCACCAGCCTCACCCCCCTCCCAACCAGAGATGGCTCCCTTCGAATAGAGAGTGGACCGCATCTCAACATCTCACGAATCTGCTGTAAAATAAGACGACAGCTTTTAAATGTGTACCTAACCCACGATTTGGGTTTCCTTTTCGCTTTGTTGGATTTCTTTCTTTCATTTGTTGCTTTCTGTCTGTCTTTCCTCGATGGGTCCCCTCTCTCCCCCTTCACTTTTGAAATCCCTTTGAATCACATTTGGTCGTGGTTTTTGACTTAGTCTAGTAGTCAGTCATAGAGCTTTAATATCTAGTTAACAGCTAACCATAGTATAACTGTTATATTAAGGAGTTAATTTTTTTTGGGCTTGTTGATTCTGCTCACTTTTAAAGGATGCTGAGATGGGAATGTTCCTCCCCGTCTGTGGGTTCCCATTCTGAGATGGTGTGGATTTTCAGGTGGAACTTTCTAGCACACACTGAATCGTCGTCGAGGTTGAGCGAGGCGGAGCGGGGAGCGGGCATCCACTCTCTCGCGTGCTGGTAGACCAAGCGAGATGAGATGCCGTAGGCTACTTAGCAGAAGAGCAGCTCTTTCCTGGCGTCTCTCTGTTAACCCGCGTCTCTCTGTTTTCGGCAATAAGGTGAGGACAACGGTGTTTTCAGTGCCCTCCTTTTCTATACGTGCTTTTTTTCTGTTGAAAGAGGTGATATTATAAGGTTTTTTGAAATTGTGAATTCTAAAAGAGAAACGCTGTAAATACAATTCCATGAACTACATAGAAACTATTAAGAAAGAATCAAAAAAAAAAAAAAAAAGCTATTTTTGTGAGGGCGTCTGTCCCAGGCAGTTTGAATGCTCTGCAGGAGGAGGAAAGGGGGGTGCAGGCAGCGACTGAGGTGAAGACACCCCCTCTCGGCTGCCAGGGCGACCCCAGGAGAAGTGAGAGCTCCCGGCTCCTTTGGTCTGTGTGAGAAACCTAAGAACTGTGTTCGTGTCATACCAGCATATTAACCTCGCGTCTGTGCACAGCTTCAAATGTACCGTCGAGTTAGATTTTTATTTAAAAGTATGGAAGGAAAAAAACCCTGCTTTTCCCAAGATGTTTTTTAAAAGACAAAGCTACAATTTTAATATTTAACATATTTAAAAATTCAAAGCACACCTGTTTGGCTCGGGTGGGGATAGGTGGGGGGCATTCTTCCTTCAGCCTTCATTGTTAACTTGTGGTCATTTTCTATTGTCCAATCATTTCAGCACCTCCAAGGTCTCTTGGACAGCTGGCCTCTCTTCTGCCTCCCCCGCCCCCGCCCCCATCACCCCCACCCCACCCCTACCCGCCCACCACCTTTCCCCAGCTCTGGGGCCCAAGGGCCAGGGGTGGCTGAGCCTGCATCAATGAAGCCCCTCTCCGTCCACTTTCTATTGACAAATTAGTAAAGAACCTTTTGATTTATATTTTTTTTTAATACCTCAGTGCTGCAAGTATCACCAGAGAGGCTATGGGAGATTTTTTTTTTAATTTATTGTAGATGTAAACAGAATTTAAAAAAAATAAAAAGTATAAACATCACTGCACTGTGACTGGTGGGAAAACTGACAGTTCCCTGTTTGCACATGTCTTGACATCGGCTGTTATAATATATGGTCCTCCGTTGGGGAAGCATACTTATGATGAAGGATAGTTTTTAATTTAACTTTTTTTTTTAATATTGGGACTAGGTCGGCAACAGCAACTATACAAGTACAACTCAATAGACGGCATTAAAACATATTGTAGTGTGGATATATATTTTTTTCTTTTTTAAAATGTGATATTGACGTTTTAATATTTTTTAAATTGTTACGTTTATAAATTTGGTACTTAAGGCACAGCCAGTAGGAGACACTGAATGCGACGACGTTGATTCTAAAGCTGCTGCACTCCTATCTTTATAAATTTTACTAACAAAGTAGACTGATACAGACATTCACAGACATGGTAGGACAGAAAAGCATGTTCAAACAAAAGACTCCAAGATGCTAGCTCAGAAGGAAAAGCCTTTTTCAATTCGAGTTAAAACATAGAGACATTTAGGGGGGGAGGATAGTGTGCATTTATTGTTGTCCCCCCCCCCATAAAATGGTAGGTTGTTTGGTTAAGGTGTTTTTTTGGGGGGGGGGGCGGTAAATTTCTTTCTTTTTTTTGAATTTCCAAGCAACCAGGTTTAGTAAAATGCTGGGCGCTTTTAAAATCAAAACGTGTTCAAGTAAGAAAATGGCAAAATAGGCATTTTATTTAAAAACAGAAACACACACACAGAGAAAATCTTTAAAGACACAGTGAATTCCCCGACAGCCGGCGTCTAGACGAGGGGACGTCTTGTCCGTGTTGGCGATGTGCCGTGCCCTCCTTGGCTTCTCTGCACCCCCATCACCGTGTAGACTACTGTCGGCCCTTGTCTGTTAATAATGTACAAATGGCTATCTTGTACGCGTGCTGTCCTGGTACTAATGTCTGTGACCCTTTTTTCTCCTCTTTCTTCTAGTACATATCGATAGGTATAATGTAATTAAGGTTTTAAAAAAACTAGACATAGTTATTCAGATTTAGGACCAGTAAGGATAGAACTTTCTCTTATTTATGAAAAAAAAAAATGCTAACAATTTTGGGGCAGTTTTTTCCTTTCAAAGTTTTGTTTTGTTTTTCAATTTCAAGTTTAACTTTTCGTTCTGTTTTTGGTGATCTGATGTGGTTTCAACTAACACAAGGTCTCACAATGTTAAAATGCCGACCGACTCCACGGCGTTTTGTAGCTCCCCGCCCCCCTAACTGTGAAAGGCGTGTGCCATACTACCTTAAATGCTAAAGCTAGATATGCAAAACTGGATTTTTTTAATTTATTTTTTAAAAGAGGAGGCATGGTATATTAAAATGATTTTACTAAGAGAAAAAAATATTTTTTTAAGGATGCTCAGAAGAAATTGATAATCTGTGTGAATATGTTTTAGATGTTTATATACCTTTTGAAGAGACCCAGTAGCCCATAGCACAAATCTCATGAAAATCTGGTATGTTTTCATGTGGCTACCTAGGTTAAGGTTCACATTAGCCCAGCGCCCCCTCCACGCATCTCGAAATCCATTCTGAACGATTTTTGTCAATTGTTTTTAGCTTTGATGTTCAGCCCCGTCTTTGTTTCAGTTAAGTTCAATGGCGAATGGGGGGACTGACCTCACCTTCCCCCGGGGAGGAAGCAACGCTCTTGGCAGCTGGCTTCCCTTAAGTTTTGAAATAGCCACCATGTGACTCTCTGGCTTCCAGACTCATCTGCGTGGGCCCCCCAGAACTCCTCTCCTCCCACACCCAGGAGAGGGAGCAGCTGTCGCTTGGGCTGGCCCTTCCGCCTGGGCTGGGAGCTGAGGCAGGGTCCCCCCAGGGGCTCTTGAAGACCTGTTTTGTGGCCTTCTTCACGCCCACTGGGAAACCAAGCAGCCTCGCCCGCGATGCCTGTCCCTCGCTCGCTCGTTGGCTTGATTCAAATGAAGGCCCAACTGGCCTTTGTGTTTCTCTCCATAACCTTCATCTTAATTTGCGCGCATAGCTTGGACTTTAAGGTAGCATGGCTCTCTTCTGTCAACCTACTGCTTCACCGCACAGCAGTTCACAGCCAGTGAATGTGGCACGCATCTTACTAGACTAGGGTAACGATCATTGGATAATTGTTGGTTCTAATGACCTGAAAGGTGTTCCATTTTTTTGGGGGGGTGGGGTGCTTTGGGTTTTTTGTGTTTGTTTGTTTCTCTTTTTTTTTTCATTTTGTTTTGTTTTCTTTGGTTGGTCTTTTTCATTTGGGAATTTTTCTTTGGGAGTGAGGGCAGGGTGACAATTGTTTTTTGTTGTTGTTCCAAATAGAAAAACAAAACCTAGTGTGATCTTTAGTGCAAACAAAGGCTAGGGACTTGGCCTCCACCACCACCACCAC